CCCCACCGCCCCTGGCTGGACGTCGCGGCTCCTCGGCCTCGGCGTCCAGGCCGCCCGCTCCCCTTTCCCACTCCAGCCTCGCTGCAGGACCCCAGAAGTGTGAGGTGTGACCAGGCTGCCCAGCTGCTGTCTGCAGGCTCACGCTGCTGGGGTCGCGCCTGCCTGGCCTCTGGGGCCTGCTGACCGCCGCGCTTAGGAGGTTTCTGGGACTCGCATTTACAGGCATCCGGATGGCCACAAGCATGTGTGAACGCACATGTAGGCCCACACATGTGCACATGCACACACTAGCAGTGCACACACACACTCCCCACGGCAGGCAGCCAGCTCACCCTGCCTCGAGGATTCAGCCAATGACTGGAGGGTGCAGGGCTCTCCCCTCATCCTTCCAAGGGGTGAAAGCCCCACCCCCTTGTCCAGGTGCAGGCAGGCACCTCGGTTCACCTCTTCCTGCCTGCAGCTGGGACTTCACGGATGCCTGCACCCAGGCCCAGAGCTGCCCCCCAACAGCCCGGCTGCCCCCCAGCCCTGCACCAGCTCTGGGATGCTGTGTCTGGCCCCCCGGGTGGCTCTTCCCAGGGGGCCCAGGGTCAGCGGCATCAGCACCACCGGGAGCTCGTTAGAGGTGAGATCCTAGGTCGACCTGGGCTGCAGGTAGGACACAGTATCAGCCCGCCCTGGGGTCCCCAGTGGCGCTGGGCACCCCTCCCTGGGACAGGTGGTGGTAAGAACCGCAGGTGGCTGGGGAAGGTGGCCGCAGGGTCCGGAGAAGAGGCGAGCAGGAGGCTCAGCTCCTGGGGGCTCGGTCTGGGCGCAGGGCGCCCTCCTCACGCCACGCGTGTCCGTCTGCCTGTCTGTCTGCATCGGCCCCGCCCCTCCGCTCTGTCTGGGGAGCGGGCGCCCCAGGTGGCACGAGCAATTCCAGCCCGGAGCCCGGCGGCAAGATGCCTTTGCCGTGTCTGTGCGCTGCGTGCACACGTGTGCGGTGTGGGTCTGTGCCCGACCCGTCCTTCCGGGGTCCACGGCCACACGCACCTGTCGCCCGCGCCCTCCCCCCCCGCGCCCTCCCCTCCCCTTCCCCTCTGGGAACCGCCATATTTTCACAGCCTCGCAGCTATTCCCGTTGTGTTTTGTTAGTTCAGCGCCTTGTTTATTTGTATTCCACACATGGGTGGAGCCATCTGGCCTTAGCCTTTCGCCTCCGACTTCTGTCTTTGAGCAGCTCCCGGCCCGTCCTGCCTTGTTGTTGCCAAAGCAAGACCCCGTCCTGGAGACGGCTGAGCAGTGCTCCCTGGAGCACTTTGCAAACTGCTCCATCCAGACGTCTGTCCGCGGGCGCCGGGCTGCCGTGACTAGTGCAGCAGCCGGCACGCAGGAGCCCGCTGGGCTGGTGCTGCACACGCTTCCTCTCAGGGCCGGGCGGGCGGGCGGGCCGCGGTCCTCCAGGGGTCGGGTTTTCACGACGCCTCTGCCGCTTTCCCCGACCTGCGTCCACACGGGCTCTCGGAGCCCGGCCCCTTCCTCCGCACCTGCGCCCGCCCCCCCAGTTCGCATCTTCCTGATGCAGGCCGCCTCCCCGCTGTGAGGTCCGGCTCCTCGTGGGCTGGTTTTCATTGCAGTTATTAGGAGGTGATGAAGGTGAAGGAAGGAGGGGCTGGTCGGCCCTCTGGGGGCAGACGTGCGGGCTGGTCAGCCTCCGTCCAGCCAACAAGCCTCTACTGAACGACTCCTTCATGCCATGGCTGTGCTCATACTCCATGTGCGCCATCACACATACGCTCGCTTCTGTGGGGAGATGGCCACGCAAGGAGGTAACTCGTCAGAGTATGAGACCGTGTAGGTGCTAAGGAGAAATAAAGCAGGCGACGGAAGGAAGTGGCAGCTGGGGGGGGGGTAGGGGGCAGCTCGGGCTGAGGTCACCACTGACGACGCAGCGCTTGAGCGAGGGCCCAGAGGCAGGCGGGAGAAGCCCCTACGCTGGAGCAGGAGGGGATTGGCAAGTGCAGAGGCCCTGAGCCCAGGCTGAAGCGCTGGAAGGCGGCTTTTGGGGGCGACTTTCAGCGACCGGGAGGAAAGAAATAGGATCGTGAGAGAGCACGGGGCCTTAGAGGGCGCTTGACGTTCACTCATGGGGGCTGGAAAGCGTCTGGGTGCATGGCAGCCAAGGAGGGCTTGGAGGTGCCCAGGGCGCCGGCGTCGAAGCTGAGACCCACGAGGCAGCCCCTGAGGCCCCTGGTCAGGGGCGGGGGGTGGCTGCACCCTGGCCGTATCGTGAGGGTACAGCTGATGTGCTTTGCTGCTGGGCTGGACTCCCGCCATCAGACCCCAGGCTCGTCGGTGCCCTGGCCCTGGTAAATACCAGACTCCATGGGCTCCCTGGCGACACTCTTGTCTCCTTGCTGGAGTTCAGTGGATCTCAGTCCATGACACCAGCAGTTCTCAGCTGCGGTGGTTTTCCCAGGGGACACGTGGCAGTGTTCACAGATGTCTTAGTTGTCACACTGGGGGAGGGTCTGGGCAGCTGGTGGGTGAATGTCAGGGTTTCTGCTCAACACTCTCCTACACGCGACATAGGACCCCCCACGGCTTCCCCCCACCCCCAAGAATGTCAACAGCGTGAACATTGAGAAGCTGGCAATTCCTGCGCTACGCCAACAGGATGTTTGCCTTGCATCCTGCACAGAGTTCGCTGCTGTGAAAATAGACTAGGAGAAGCAGAGGTTCAGTAGAGGTGAGAACGGTGCTGTGAGGTGGCGTGACCGGTGCAAGAGCACAGGGCTGCCAGGGCCAG